TTGAGAGAATGCCAAGAGTGTGCAAAGCTGTCATCACGGCAAAGGGTGGCTATTTGAAGAATCTCAAATATAAAATATATGTTGATTTGTTTAGCACTTTTTTGGTTACTACATGATTCCATATGTGTTATTTCATAGTTTTGATGTCTTCACTATTATTCTACAATGTAAAAAATAGTAAAAATAAAGAAAAACCCTTGAATGAGTAGGTATGTCCAAATTCTTTACTGGTTGTGTATCTGCATGCAGTTCCTGAGAGAGAAGTGGCGGACGGTGGTGTGGGGGGCAGTGTTGCTGGCTGTTCTCCATTCTCTGCGAGGCGCCACCAGATGCAGGTCTAAAAGAGCGTCTGACTTGTCTTACGGAGTTGGAGTCTGCTGCTCCTTTTGGGTGAGGTGGACTGGCCACCCAGAGCAACATCCTTTAACTTCCTGGCGAAGGTGGGGATTGTCTCTTTTTACAGGTGTACATTGTCGTATAGACAGTCCATGCTGAGGGTGGGATGGTGGGTCAGGTGCACGTTAGGCCATAGCACACAGTCCCGAGAGAGGCTGGCATTTACCGTCTGGATGGTGGCAGGGTGGAAATCTCTCCTCTGGAGCGTGGTAGATAATCAAACAATATTTGCAAGGAGGAAGATGGTGGAGGCCCTCTCTATCACTCCCCTTAGAGATGTTGCCAACATCTCCTGCAGGTCATTGGTCCCCGTGTGAATGATGAAAATGTATGCACTCACTAACTGTAAGTCGCTCTGGATAAGAGCGTCTGCTAAATGACTAAAATGTAAATATAAATGATATGGCTGGGGGAGCCAAGCTGGGCCACAGTCAAGAGCCCTCTGTTGTGGGGCACCATTGCCACCTTACTATTTGGAAAAAGTTTATTCTCTAATATAAACGTTCCATTGGAGTCCATCATTAATATAATGTCTGGTTTCTCGTCAGGTCTGTGGAGGATGGCAGTAGTGATAGGAGTTATATGGGGATGGAGGGGAATAGCTGGGTTGGTGCATTGGTTGGTTGGGTTGGTTGGTGGTTTCTGATTCAGCTGTTGGCTTTGTCCTGGGTTTTTGTGGGACTCTTTGTAGAGTGGATGGTGTTGGCTGAGAAATCCCTGCCTTAGCTCATGTAGCTCCTCCTGCAGGTCCTGCATGTGGCTGGTGTTGACTGTGCTGGACAGTTCCTCTCTAAGTCTGCGCACTTCCATCCTGAGAGCCTGGTTGTCCTCCTCAACATTTTTCATTGCACATTGCAGCACCTGGATCTCCTCCCTATGCTGACGCACCAGGCTGATCTCCTCCTCTATAAGATGCTGTGGTACTGCAGGTGTCACATGTGCGAGTGGCATGTTCAGGGCTGTGTCTGCTGCAGGCAAAGGAGAGAGAGGGACACTGGGGACTATATACTGGTGCACAGAGGGAGTGGAGGCTGTTGTAGATAGTGACAGTGGAGAGGTTTTAAGTTCAGCAAGAAGAGGTTTCATTTGGTAGTGGACAAATTGATCCAGACTGGCCTCCGAACCTTTACATTTTTACATCGAACATTTTAGTCATTTAGCAGACGCTCTTATCCAGAGCGACTTACAGTAGTGAGTGCATACATTTTAATAATGTTTTCATACTGGTCTCCCGTGGGAATCAAACTCACAACCCTGGCCGCCATGCTCTACCAACAGAACTACACAGGACTAAACCTTGAACCATCACAGTGCCGTTAATATAAATATTAATCTTACATTTTGGGGTGGAATCAATGTACAGTTGCCTCATTGTTCTGTTTTCTGACATTTTAAGTTCATTGTTGGTCTTGTGGAGAGCTGTGTGCCAAGCATTAGGATCATCCATGTAGAACAGAAGGTTTCCTTTTATTTAGTTGTTCACTTTTAGGATGAAGTCTGCCCTCAGAGTCTCTGGGGATTCTCTTAGCAATTTAGTTTAGAATTCATTTTTTTCTGACTCACCTGGAAAATGTTCAGGATACGTGATGGCAAGGTCTCTGAAACAATGCTTAGAGTATGCCTCCATTTTCATCTCCATAGAATGATGTGCATGTGCCTCTTAATGAAAGCACTTATTTAAATAATGCCCCTACAGATAAATGCACTTTTTAAACAATGCACTTTTTTGAATAATACAAATAAAGATATTAAATATGTTTTTCAATGAAACCACACATTACATACAGTGCATTCGGAAACTATTCAGACCCCTTGACTATTTCCACATTTTGTTATGTTACAGCCTTATTTTAAAATTGATTAAATTGTTTTTTTCCTCATCAATCTACACACAATACCCCATAATGACAAAACAAAAATAGGTTTTTAGAAACTTTGGCAAATGTATTAAAAACAAAACTGAAATATCACATTTACATAAGTATTCAGACCCTTTACTCAGTACAGTCTCCTGAGTGGCGCAGTGGTCTAAGGCACTGCATCGCAGTGCTAACTGTGTCACTAGAGATCCTGGTTCGAATCCAGGCTCTGTCGCCGCCGGCAGCGACCGGGAGACTCGTGGGCGGCGCACAATTGGCCCAGCGTCGTCCAGGGTAGGGGAGGGAATGGCCGGCAGGGATGTAGCTCAGTTGATAGAGCATGGCGTTTGCAACGCCAGGGTTGTGGGTTCGATTCCCACGGGGGGGCAGTATAAAAAAAATATGTATTCACTAACTGTAAGTCGCTCTGGATAAGAGCGTCTGCTAAATGACTAAAATGTAAATGTAAATGTACTTTGTTGAAGCACCTTTGGCAGCAATTACAGCCTCTCGTCTTCTTGGGTATGACGCTACAAGCTTGGCACACCTGTATTTGGGGAGTTTCTCCCATTCTTCTCTGTACATCGTCTCAAGCTCTGTCAGGTTAGATGGGGAGCGTCGCTCCACAGCTATTTTCAGGTCTCTCCAGAGATGTTAGATTAGGTTCAAGTCCGGGCTCTGGCTGGGCCACTCAAGTACAGTGGGGAAAAAAAGTATTTAGTCAGCCACCAATTGTGCAAGTTCTCCCACTTAAAAAGATGAGAGAGGCCTGTAATTTTCATCATAGGTACACGTCAACTATGACAGACAAAATTAGGAGAAAAAATCCAGAAAATCACATTGTAGGATTTTTTATGAATTTATTTGCAAATTATGGTGGAAAATAAGTATTTGGTCAATAACAAAAGTTTCTCAATACTTTGTTATATACCCTTTGTTGGCAATGACACAGGTCAAACGTTTTCTGTAAGTCTTCACAAGGTTTTCACACACTGTTGCTGGTATTTTGGCCCATTCCTCCATGCAGATCTCCTCTAGAGCAGTGATGTTTTGGGGCTGTCGCTGGGCAACACGGACTTTCAACTCCCTCCAAAGATCTTCTATGGGGTTGAGTTCTGGAGACTGGCTAGGCCACTCCAGGACCTTGAAATGCTTCTTACGAAGCCACTCCTTCGTTGCCCGGGCGGTGTGTTTGGGATCATTGTCATGCTGAAAGACCCAGCCACGTTTCATCTTCAATGCCCTTACTGATGGAAGGAGGTTTTCACTCAAAATCTCACGATACATGGCCCCATTCATTCTTTCCTTTACACAGATCAGTCGTCCTGGTCCCTTTGCAGAAAAACAGCCCCAAAGCATGATGTTTCCACCCCCATGCTTCACAGTAGGTATGATGTTCTTTGGATGCAACTCAGCATTCTTTGTCCTCCAAACACGGCGAGTTGAGTTTTTACCAAAAAGTTATATTTTGGTTTCAAGTAATGAAGTGGGTTACCTTCTGTATTTGTACAAATTATGAGCCTTGTGAAAGCTGTTGCCGCTGACAGGTGAAGTTTGCTGGCCAGATACTTGCCAGCATGTTGCTGACATTTCCATTCATAGGAATGCTCACATGGAGGCCATGTCTGCATGATGCTGATGAGGGCCCCCTTGCTGGTCTTCTCTATGCTGCATGTTCAGCTGCAAACTGGAGAAACTGCAGCAGGCAATCTTATGAAGTGGTGTTGACTGGGAGGGCCTGTGACAGGGTGATACAATAGAAAGCCAAGTGGTGAATTGCATTTTGTTCTAAAGAAAGGCCAAAGCTTTTTTCTAATGCACTTCACAACCAAATTGACTCTACTAGTTGTATCTGCTTGGCTGGGGAATTGGCCTACTAATTTATCAAGCCGGGTATTTTTTAATACAACTTTTCACATTTCACATAACACATTACCTGTCGTTGTTGATGAAGCAGTCTGTTTTTATCAGGGCAGTAACTCGGATCACCATCAGAGTCCTCATGATTGCGTGTCCTTTTCATAGAAGTCGAGACTGGCAACAACGAAGGAGGTGTCACAAGGGTACTTGTGTCGCATGACACACATTTATTCTGATGTCTTGCCTGACAAGCTGTGAAAATAGCAAGTGAACAGTGAATTATATCATTTTTGGACGTCGCTAAACCATTGCGATCACATTGCTGGACATGTTATGATACCCACCTTTGCGCCTTCTGGTAGGTCCTGGCCATTCTATGCTTTACAGATGTAGACTTTACTTGCTCCAGATTGGATTCAGGCTGGTGACGCCGTTACACTAAAATACAGTGGTCCTCTCAATCTTAGTTAGCTGGCTAAAGTTAGACTGCATCTAAAGTCAATCTGGTGACATCACAATCATAAAAAAAATGTTTCCTACTAATTACCTGCCTTCTTTTTAAATGTTAACATGTTTCCAAGCCAAATCCTAGTTGTATTGAGGTAGGCTAAAGTCAGCCAGCTAGCTAGCTAGCTAACATTAGCTATGCTAGCGATGAAAGTGATATGAGGAGCATCAGTCGTCGCCTGTGTGAGGCTCCGCCTAGTGGCCAGAGCTAAGCATAGCATTATTGTTGATGCATAGGAATGTTACAAAAACATTTTTCTTCTTCACAAATATTTGTGCATTAATGCTTAGAAAAATATAATGGTAAAGAAATAGTTTGAGAATGTTTGCATGTTTTGGGAACATTTGAATTAATCAAAGACTATAATCACGTGACTTATGGCTGGTCGCGTGACGGTCTCTTCCGCAAGCATAAAGCTGTTTGTTGTTAGCAAATGTGGGAACTCAAAAAAAAATGGAGGGGTTTAGACGGCTAGTAAACTATTTTTTATCGCTATCTGCAGTATGGAATGTCGGTCATTTCAAGGACAGTGGAATGCTCTTTCCTCGAGAGTCGTCGTCGCGAGAGATCAAAGAGCTGAATGGGCTATGGAACTTCAGAGCCGACCTCTCGCGCAACAGGAACTTGGGCTTTGAACAAGCATGGTACAAAAGTCGCCTTGCAGAGGTATGTAAACATCCAATTATGTAACATGGATATTGTCATTAATCGTACCCAAAAGCATGTGGTCTACGGGTCCTACTTGTACAGAATAGTTATGTTCTGCTATAAATTCCCTTCAATGAGTGGTCTGTTTGGGAAACTTGAAATTCTAAATGAACGGTCATCCATCTCGGAATGCTAGAGCTCCGACTTTCGGAAGTGAATGTCACGATTTGACCTCTTATTATTCCGAGTGCCCAGTTGTTTTGAACGCGGCAATAACATGCGCAGTTTGAGTTACTCCAGAAAGTGACGTTGCTGGCTAGCTCAGGGCTGCTGCCTCTAATTGAGTAACACAAGTTGAAGGGTGACCGGGGTACTGCAGGCTGCCATTAGCACCTAAATTCTCATTCTGATTTTTAGCAACAATTGGTACCATTAGCAACGGTCAACCCGCTCCACTACAGCCCCGTCGATGTGAATGGGTGCGTTTGGCCCTCCTTTTCCTGTAGTCCACGATCAGTTCCTTTGTCATGCTCACATTATTGGAGAGGTTGTTGTCCTGGCACCACACTGGCAGGTCTCTGACCTCCTCCCTATAGGCTGTCTCATCATTGTCGGTGATCAGGCCTACCACTGTTGGGTCATCAGCAAACTTAATGATGGTGTTGGAGTCATGCTTGGCCACGCAGTCATTGGTGAAAAGGGAGTACAGGAGGGGACTAAGCACGCACCCCTGAGGGGCCCCTGTGTTGAGGATCAGCGTGGCAGATGTGTTGTTGCCTACCCTTACCACCTGGGGGGGGCGTCAGGAAGTCCAGGATCCAGTTGCAGAGGGAGGTGTTTAGTCCCAGGGTCCTTAGCTTAGTGAGGCGCTTTGTAGGCACTATGGTGTTGAACGCTGAGCTGTAGTCAATGAACAGCATTCTCACATAGGGGTTCCTTTTGTCAAGGTGGGAAAGGGCAGTGTGGAGTGCGATTGAGATTCCGTCATCTGTGGATCTGTAGGGGCGGTTTGCGAATTGGAGTGGGTCTAGGGTTTCCGGGATGATAGTGTTGATGTGAGTCATGACCAGCCTTTCAAAGCACATGGCTACAGACGTGAGTCATTATCCACCAGGGGTGGTAGTCATTTAGGCAGGTTACCTTCGCTTTCTTGGGCACAGGGACTATGGTGGTCTGCTTGAAACATTTGCATAAATGCACCGGGCCTATTTGCATTTATGAATATATTAACATAAAGGGGTGGAACAGGGCTGCAACCACCAAACACTTACTGTCTAGGCCTACCTGCAATCACCTGCACTATCTTGTCACGTTCTGTTGCATAATTCATCAAGTGTGTGTCAATAGCAGTATACCTTCAGATAGAATATCTACACGCTTGGCTTTAGATTACACCTATTTAAGCATACTTTACATTATTTGTGATATCAGACATAATATCACTATAATCTGAATGTTCATTTTTGGAAGTTGCCTTCATTTCAGCGCATCTAATTTGTAAACATTTCAACTGTATAAAATTATTACTTTTTTTTAATTCCACAAAAAATGTACACCCATCATCTTCTTGTGATGCAAGTGTCAAGACATTGCATTAAATCACCAATGGATCTTTTAATTAGCGTTCTCTTAGATTCAACAGAGAGCCAAAGTATTCCATTCAGCCATTACAGGGGTATGTTTGACAGGTCATTACAAAAATGTCCACAGTCGTAATGTTAAAACGAGAAAGAATGACAGGCACCAGCAAGAGTATGAAAGAGTCGCAGGAGTAAAATGGAAGCAATCAATCCAGAGAGATTTAGGTGACAAGTGAATTTTGCACCCCTCAAACACAGGAAATAGAAGGCTGAAAAAGACAGATCCTCAGGTGGGTGGGGCATGCATGTTGCTAGTACCATGATTGTCGTCCCCCAAAATTATTTACACGATGATTGACCATAAATATATATTTTTTTCCATCCACTATAATGGGGATCCTGTTTTCCGCTAACAATTCCTGTAGTTTCGCGGTCGGCCTTCCGTGGCTTCAATGAGAGGGGGCAGTTGTTCACCCCTGAAATTGCTTCCGATAATGGCTACTATGGAATAATTCACATATCGCCGCTTAATTTATAGCTAGTGTTTTAGCCAATGCTTTGTGTAAACTGTCAAAAATTCAGCAACATGATTGTAAAGAGGGCCTGTGTCAAATAGTTTGTTGTCAATTCCTCCCTCTTCACTTTTTCCTCTCGCTCTTTACCTGTATCTGTTTATGTAGAGTGGTCCAGTGATTGACATGCCAGTGCCCGCCAGCTACAATGACATCACCCAGGACCCACGGCTGAGGGATTTCATTGGCTGGGTGTGGTACGAGAGAGAAGTGTTGGTACCCTCAGGATGGGTGTCTGAGGGAACAAGAGTTGTGCTGAGAGTTGGGAGTGCACACTACTACTCAGTGGTCGTGAGTATCTCACAAATCTTCTACCATTTTTTTTTCAGCTTAAGTTGCCATTCTGTTTTGCTCATGTGATAGCTGTAACTCCACAACCTCCTCTCACATGAGTTCATCTGCAATGTACATGCACATCCCTCATTGAAAAAGGTATGATGTTGTGTAAAGACTGTCACTCTTGCTACATAGGAATGTCTTCTCTCTTTTCCTTCCCTGCCAGTGGGTGAATGGGATCAAAGTGATGGAGCACGAGGGCGGCCATCTTCCCTTTGAGGCTGAGATAGTTGAGGTCCTCCGTAACAACCCAGGTGGGGCCTGCAGGATCACCATAGCTGTCAACAACACCCTGACTCTCCAAACCTTGCCCCCAGGGACCATCCAACATATAGACGACCCCACCAGGTGATGTGATGAAGAGATTTTACTTCCTTTCAATGGGAGAAGAATTCAAATGTTTTTAGCATTATCTTAGCGTTTCCCAAACTCTGTCCTGGGGACCCCAAGGGGTGCACATTTAGTTATTTGCCCTAGCACTACATAGCTGAATCAAATAATCTCAAGTTTGATGATGAGTTGATTATTTGTATCAGCTGTGAAATGCTAGGTCAACAAACAAAATGTCCATCCACATTGCTCTGGCCAAAAGCCACACCCTCTAGCTGTTCCCCTCACAATCAATGTATGGAGAGATTGATAGAGCAGCGGAATTAAATTCAGGATGAGTCGTCAGGCTAGTCCCCAGGACCGAGTCTGGGAAACGTTGCGTTATAATTTTTAAGTTGGGACTAATCTCACATTGCCAGACACACATTTTAAGATTTTCTACAGACCAAACCTAAAATGACAGGTCGAGGCGAACTAGCTTTTGATTCCTTTTCTGATGGGAAATCATGTTTTGGATTACAAGTCGAGGAACATCTGTGTTGTGTGTCTCTATATATATTGTATACAGGTATCCTGCTGACTATGTTGTGCAAAACACCAACTTTGACTTCTTCAACTATGCTGGTTTGCACCGTCCTGTAGTGTTGTACACCACTCCTAAGGCGTATGTGGATGACATCACAGTGGTGACAGCCTTTGCTGACAACATTGGTGAGTGCAAAAGAAAACAACGGATTTTCTCATTTACTTGATCAAGTAATTATTTTGGTCTGTTCATCCATACCCTTCTCACTCTATCGTGCCGACCAAAACCATACTGTACTGACTCGGATATTTCCTTTTCACATTGTCCTTTTCTGCGCGATTCCATCAACTATGGAATAGTGTGAAAATGGCACTAGTGTACTAAGGTGTTGGTCTCTTCTGCTCTGTTATGTGTTCTAGGTCTGCTCTCCTACCAGGTGTCGGTGCTGGGCAGTCCCAACCCCACGGTGACTGTGACTCTCTCGGACAAAGATGGCCGTTGTTTGGCCTCTTCCACTGGACCCTCTGGGGTCCTCAAAGTGACGGACGTCAACCTGTGGTGGCCGTATCTAATGCATGAGAATCCAGGTTATCTGTATTCTATGGGGGTAAGTTGGGCTTCATTCATAGTTGCATTTAATTAGAGGGTCCACTGTTCCTTTATAGTCTGTTTTGTCAAACCTTTTATCAATGCAAACTACATTAAATTATTATACACAGAAAAAAAAGATTTTGCACATGTTAAAAAAAATACTACCCGTTTTTACTCATGTATCACCCTATCCATGTGATGACTGAGTCACAGCTCACATGAACATAGCCTCAGTTTAGCAACTCATCACACCACCCACACATCCACTTCCTGTGTTTTTGTAACAATGGAGTTCATACTGTAAAAAGCCTTTTGTAACCTTTTCAGAAAGATAGAAATGTATTTTGTACAGCAGATATGATTATCTGGCTGTCATTGTAAATAATTTGTTCTTAATTGACCTGATTGGTTAAATAAATGTAAAATAAATCTGACCCATAGAATTTAGAATTGTGTAAGCTCTTTTCATTACATTTCTATTTGCAACGTCCTGAATCTGAATGTTTCACCTAATTAATTACAGTGCATTCGAAAAGTATTCAGACCCCTTGAGTTTTTCCACATTTTGCTACATTATAGCCTTATTCTAAAATGGATTAAATTGTTTTTTTTCCCCTCATCAATCTACACACAATACCCTATAATGACAAAGGGAAAATAAGTTTTCAGAAATGTTTGCACATTTATTACAAAATAATATACAAATATCTTATTTACATAGGTACTCAGTACTTCGTAGAAGCACCTTTTGGCAGTGATTACACCCTAGAGTCTTCTTGGGTATGACACTACAAGCTTGCCACATCTGTATTTGGGGGGTTTCTCCCATTCTTCTCTGCAGATCCTCTCGAGCTCTGTCTGGTTGGATGGGGAGCGTTGCTGCACAGCTATTTTCAGGTCTCTCCAGAGATGTTAGATCGGGTTCAAGTCTGGGCTCTGGCTGGGCCACTCAAGGACATTCAGAGACTTGTCCCGAAGCCCCTCCTGCATTGTCTTGGCTGTGTGCTTAGGGTCATTGTCCTGTTGGAAAGGGAACCTTCGCCCCAGTCTGAGGTCCTGAGTGCTCTGGAGCAGGTTTTCGTCAAGGATCTCGCTGTACTTTGCTCCGTTCATCTTTCCCTCGATCCTGACTAGTCTCCCAGTCCCTGAAAAATATCCCCACTGCATGATTCTGCCACCACCATGCTTCACAGTAGGAATGGTGCCAGGTTTCCTCCAGATGTGACGCTTGGCATTCAGGCCAAAGAGTTCAATCTTGGTTTCATCAGACCAGATAATATTTTCTCATGGTCAGAGTCCTTTAGGTAGCTTTTGGCAAACTCCAAGCGGGCTGTCATGTGCCTTTTACTGAGGAGTGGCTTCTGTCTGGCCAATCTACCATAAAGGCCTGATTGGTAGAGTGCTGCAGAGATCGTTGTCCTTCTGGAAGGTTCTCCCTCTACACAGAGGAACTCTGGAACTCGGTCAGAGAGACCATCAGGTTCTTGGTCACCTCCCTGACCAAGGCCCTTCTCCCCCGATTGCTCAGTTTGGCCGGGCGGCCAGCTCTAGGTAGAGTCTTGGTGGTTCCAAACTTCTTCCATTTTAAGAATGACGGAGGCCACTGTGTTCTTGGGGGCCTTCAATGCTGCAGACATATTTTGGTATCGTTCCCCAGATCTGTGCCTCGACACAATCCTGTCTCAGAGCTCTACGGACAATTCCTTCAACCTCATGGCTTGGTTTTTGCTCTGACATGCACGGTCAACTGTGGGACCTTTTATATAGAAAGGTGTGTGCCTTTCCAAATCATGTCCAGTGAATAGAATTTACCACAGGTGGAGTCCAATCAAGTTGTAGAAACATCTCAAGGATGATCAATGGAAACCGGATGCACCTGAGCTCAATTTCGAGTCTCATAGCAAAGGGAGGTGACCAGGAATCCGATGGTCGCTCTGAAGAGTTCCAGAGTTACTCTGTGTAGAGGGAGAACCTTCCAGAAGGACAACCATCTCTGCAGCACTCCACCAAAGCAGGCCTTGATGGTAGAGTGGCCAGACAGAAGCCACTCCTCAGTAAAAGGCACATGACAGCCCTCTTGGAGTTTGCCAAAAGCTACCTAAAGGACTCTGACCATGAAAATATTCTCTGGTCTGATGAAACCAAGATTGAACTCTTTGGCCTGAATGCCAAGCGTCACATCTGGAGGAAACCTGGCACCATCCCTACTGTGAAGCATGGTGGTGGCAGAATCGTGCAGTGGGGATATTTTTCAGGGACTGGGAGACTAGTCAGGATCGAGGGAAAGATGAACGGAGCAAAGTTCCAAAGACTCTAGGGTGTCTTTGGACACTGAGTAAAGGGTCTGAATACGTATGTAAATGTTATATTTCCGGTTTTTATTTTTAATAAATGTGCAAAAATGTCTAAACCGGTTTTTGCTTTGTTATTGTGTGTAGATTGAGAAAAAAAAACAATTTAATCAATTTTAGAATAAGGCTGTAATGTCACAAAATGTGGAAAAGGTCAAAGTGTCTGAATACTTTCCAAAAGTACTGTACATCCCTCATCTCCTTTGTTTCCAGGTTCATATGACAGCAGGTGGCGAGGGTTCTGTCTATGAGGATGTGTATGCTCTGCCTGTGGGCATCCGCACTGTGCAGGTCACCAACACACAATTCCTCATCAACAACAAACCCTTCTATTTCCACGGAGTCAACAAACATGAGGATGCTGATGTGAGTACTGAGTAGTCCCATTAGAGGGCAGCAAAACTCTGAACCAGATAAGTGGGCAGTGTCTGTCAGTTTTGTATTGTGTATGCAACTGACTTCCAGCAGTTGTTCAGTCATATTTGCCAAGGAATTTAAGCAATAAAGAAGGTTGAAGCGGCATATAAGTTCTTATCATCTGATCAGTTTCTCAGTGTTTAGAATAAATAATTTTGGGTAGTTATCCAGTTTCATGCGAATGGGACTATCTGTAAGTCAACAGAAATTGGTCTGTGTCAACTGTCTGTTCTCATTGTTTGCTGTGTGTGTGTGTCAGATCCGAGGTAAAGGCCTGGACTGGCCCCTGATCGTGAAGGATTTCAACCTGTTGAAGTGGCTTGGGGCCAACTCGTTCAGGACCAGCCACTACCCCTACGCTGAGGAGATATTGCAGATGGCAGACCGCCATGGCATCGTGGTCATTGACGAGTGTCCTGGGGTGGGCATCAAAGACATGTAAGTCATCGCCATAGTGACAGTTGCAGTTTCTGTGACCTCTGAAGGGTCAGTTAAAGGTTAAACGGTCACCAGGTGTCTGCAACGTTTGAAGAGAACCTCAAGGTGTTCTTTCGCACAATGAGTGTGCCAGTCATTTTTTAAGAAACACTTTTATTTAAGCCTGTCCTTTTTTGCTTGCATGTCTAAACCATTAACTACTCTGTTTTTTAATGGACTGTTATTAGCAAGTTTATATACAGCATTAAACTTTTTAAAGTATGATCAATGCTCAGCCATTACATAATTAATCAAGTCAGGTCTTCTGTGTCTCTGGGACATCCACTAACCCTATCATGTCTCTTGTCCCCAAGCCGTAGTTTCGGGAACGCCTCCCTGTCGCATCACCTGGCGGTCATGGACGAACTGGTGAGGAGGGACAAGAACCACGCCTCCGTGGTCATGTGGTCTGTAGCCAATGAGCCGGCCGCTGAGATGCCCCCTGCTGAATACTATTTCAAGTAAGAGAATGTTAGCATTAATTCACATTCCATAAATGTGCGTCCTTGTTCCTTAAAATGCACATTCACATCATGGTAGAGTGACGTTCTAGTGAACAAAGACTGTTAGTTACACTGAAATGTAAACTACTTCTTAGTTCTCACATTTCCAAATGAGGTAGCCCTTTACACTCACAGCCCAGCCCGTTTACAGTATGAAAATGGCATATTTGGTCAATAATAAGGACCTAAATTGGAACGCAGTGGCTGTACAGTAACATATTATACATGTCCGCTTTACAGCACTGTATGGGATTCAACTAACAGACATTTTAAATGTGAGCACCACGCACAACCAGAAAATATGCCCCATCCCTCCCGTTAATTGGGCTAATTTTGCAAAAAACATTGTCTGAGTCAGGAGAATGCTGTAACTCAAGAAGACTCTGTGTTCTGAAAGATGAGACGTTGAGGATTATAATAAACACCTCTTTGATGTCATACAAGCGAACCACACATATGTGAATCCAAATGTGCACTTCACATTCCCATATTATGAAACTCATGTCCTTTACAGTATCAACGTTTTATAATGGCTGTGTTTGATGTACAGTCACAAGGATGACATGGCATCATACCCTGGGTTGTTCTGAACAGAATGTCACGAGTCCCTAGCAACAGATTTGGCCCCGCCCACAAAGGGTATATAAAAAAAAAAAAGGAATCTCTCGTTGAAATACATTTATTTTAGTGCTGCGCTAAATGACTTCAATATAATATTTTCAAATAACCATATGTTCTATCTATAACAGAATTTATGCCCGATCTGTGATGCGTTTAGCCAGCAACTCTAATTTTAAGTTACGAAGCCGAGGTGGTAAAATGCTAATTCATTGGAAATAACTGCATTCACGCGGGTGTCCCGTGCCACTGTAAAAACAGACAAGTTTCCTGGGTACGTATCTAGTGTGAGTGAGAACATAATGATGGGAATTTAATCTCTTTTTACTGGTTTTTCTCGACTTGTTCAGTAAAAATAACGAATCTTTCCACTCATTTCGTTCGAGTCAGTAATGCCCAAAGCACGCAGGACCCCCCCCTACCGGCGAACGATGAACTGAAAACTCTAAAAGGTCAGGATTCTACAAGCCTCTCGTTCACTTGTCGTTCACCATAAGGGGCTTATTGGAGCTGTCATTTGTGACTGAGACTTGTATAAGTTTGCTTTAAACAATGTACATTTGTTGATTTTGCTAAGCATACTAATACTATTGTATTTTTATTTTGTAATAAAAAAAAATTAGGGGGTAGATCAGCTTTAATATTGCAGATAGCTTGTAACTTCCATCAATGTAATTGTCTGCATCACTTCCAATCCCCCCATGTACGCATATATGACTACATACGTACATATCCTTTAAAAATTTTTTATTTCCCTTTATTACTTTCCAACCCCACTACCCCTTCCCTAATTGGAGGAAACTAGTGAACAACAACGCTTAGGCCTCTACTTCCAGCTTATACATACTATGTTCTGGGATTCTTCAGATAGCATTGAGGAGTACACCACATCAGTCACTGGCTTCATCAATAAGTGCATCGATGACGTCGTCCCCACAGTGACCGTACGTACATACCCCAACCAGAAGCCATGAATTACAGGCAACATCCGCACTGAGCTAAAGGGTAGAGCTGCCGCTTTCAAGGAGCGGGACTCTAACCCGGACGCTTATAAGAAATCCCGCTAAGCCCTCCGACGAACCATCAAACAGGCAAAGAGTCAATACAGGACTAAGATTGAATCGTACTACACCGGCCCTGACGCTCGTCGGATGTGGCAGGGCTTGAAAACTATTACAGACTACAAAGGGAAGCACAGCCGCGAGCTGCCCAGTGACACAAGCCTACCAGTTGAGCTAAATCACTTCTATGTTCGCTTCGAGGCAAGCAACACTGAGGTATGCATGAGAGCATCAGCTGTTCCGGATGACTATGTGATCATGCTCTCCGTAGCCGATGTGAGTAAGACTTTTAAGCAGGTCAACATTCACAAGGCCGCAGGGCCAGGCGGATTACCAGGACGTGTACTCCGAGCATGTGCTGACCAACTGGCAAGTGTCTTCACTGACATTTTCAACATGTCCCTGACTGAGTCTGTAATACCAACATGTTTAAAACAGACCACCATAGTCCCTGTGCCCAAGGACACTAGGATAACCTGCCTAAATGACTACCGACCCATAGCACTCACGTCTGTAGCCATGAAGTGCTTTGAAAGACTGGTCATGGCTCACATCAACACCATTATCCCAGAAACCCTAGACCCACTCCAATTTGCATACCGACCCAACAGATCCACAGATGATGTAATCTCTATTGCACTCCACACTGCCCTTTCTCACCTGGACAAGAGGAACACCTACGTGAGAATGCTATTCATTGACTACAGCTCAGCGTTCAACACCATAGTGCCCTCAAGCGGTACCGGAGCGCCAAGTCTAGGTCCAAAAGGCTTCTCAACAGCTTCTACCCCCAAGCCATAAGACTCCTGAACAGGTAATCATGGCTACCCAGACTATTTGCACTGCCCCCCCCACCCCATCCTGCTCTTTTACACTGTTGCTACTGTTTATTATTTATGCATAGTCACTTTAACTCTACCCACATGTACAACACTTTTTATTTAACTTTTTTCTTTTTAAAAAACTGCATTGTTTGTTAAGGGCTTGTAAGTAAGCATTTCACTAATGTCTACACCTGTTGTATTCGGCGCATGTGGCAAATAAAATTTGATTTATATAAATTTTTTGGACACAGTCAATTTTACAATAATTCTAATGTTTGTTTTTACTCCTGAATTTCCTCTACCATCAACCTCTCCGATCATTTTCATGATGTCCATCCGGTTTGCTTCTATATGCCATGTCTTTCTAACTGTGCTTTTTCACAAAAGCTCTCAACCTATAACCTATATACTTATTATGGACACAGTATGCTTTACATTATTAGTTATCTTGTTGTTATTAGTCCCATCCTTCAACTTCATTCAACACCACCCATCTATCGCTTAACACCATCCATATTGGATTTCTATTTGCCATATATTTTTCAACTGTACTGTGATGTTTTACAAAAGTTCTGAACCTTTTCTATTCTCATTGTTTCTACAGATTGAAAATAAACATTTTTGCTAAAAGTATTATTATATTATTGATCAATTGACTATAACTTTTCAGATCACCCGGTAGTGCTATCTGCAGGTTTAGCTCCAGGTAAGTATTGCAATCCTTTAGCCATTCCTGGACCTGTGTCCAAAACAAGCTACAAATAATTTAAATAATAAACTTCTAAGTTTTGAATCCGGCGTCGTTTTGCGTATCAATTAATAAACACTATGCCATGGAATCGGTACGTCAAAAATCTCTTCCCAACTATTTTGCAATCTATATGGGACGGCTGTCAATCCTTTGGTCCTTAAATGAAACGGGTATACTTTTTATTTATCACAATTTTCTTTAACCAATTATGTTCTTTAATGCAGGGCCGACAGACAAGTTCCTTACTTTTTCCCCCTTCCACTTTCCTCTTCCATTTTTGCGGTAATGCTGCAATTTATTTGGTTGTAATTTTGGGTAGAGCAGACATTTCCATATGTTTTTGTTAGCTGCATGTGCGACAACTCCACCAGTCCTACCTATGATATCATTTACGGAGATTATACCTTTTTTAAACATTTTGTCAAAACAAAAATGGTTTATCAATTAGTATATTTGAGTTTAACTACAATATTTGTTCTGTTGTTTCTGGATGATTAAATTGAAATTGCAACCAACTTTCTATGGCTTGTTTTAGAAATAGTGATATTTGGGAGATTATTTCCTTTTCAAATAACTGAAAATGAGAGGTTGTAATCTGAATAAAGGGAAAAAGGCCATTCTTGAACATGGGGTGAGACAATTTTACTAATTTACTAGAGAACCAGTTCGGATTTAAGTAGAACTTTTGTATGACTGAAGCTTTTAGTGATAGGTCTAATGGTTTAATTTTTAATAATTTCTGTCCTCCGAATTCATATTCATTATCTAAATAGGCTCGTTTAAATTTTGTCTGGCTTGCCGTTCCAAATAAAATGGAATATGTTTTTTACTCATAATTTAAGAAACTGTTTGCTAGGCGTAGGTAAGACTATAAGCAAATAGGTAAACTGGGATAATACTAAAGAGTTAATCAGGGTGATTTTTCCACAAATTGACAGGGATTTACCTTTCCATTGTAGCAAGATCTTATCTATTTTTGCTAACTTACTATTAAAATGTATTGGAGTGAGATCATTTGGGATATGTATTCCGAGTATATCCACATCACCATCAGACCGTTTTATTGGTAAACTACATGGTAATCTAAAAACATTATTTTTTTAGTGATCCAATACGTAATATAGTACATTTATCATAATTTGGTTGTAATCCAGAGGTTATAAAATGTATCTAGATCCTCTGAGGCTGTGGAGGGATTCAAGTTGTGGATTTAAAAGAACATGAATCATCAGCGTACAATGACACCTTTTTTTTTAAGCCCTGGATTTCTAATCCCTTGATATTATTGTTGGATCTGATTTTAATAGCTAACATCTCGATGGCCGTAATAAATAGTTATGCCGATAGTGGACAACCTTGTTTCACTCATCTTGACAGTTTAAAACTTTCTGAGAAATAGCCATTATTTACTATTTTATACCTAGGGTTACTATACATGATTTTAACCCATTTTATAAGAGATTCTCCAAAATTTTAAATGCTCAAGGCATTTATATATGTATGTGTGTGTGTGTGTGTGTGTGTATGATATATACAGTGGGGAGAACAAGTATTTGATACACTGCCGATTTTGTAGGTTTTCCTACTTACAATGCATGTAGAGGTCTGTAATTTTTATCATAGGTACACTTCAACTGTGAGAGACGGAATCTAAAACAAAAATCCAGAAAATCACATTTGTATGATTTTTAAGTAATTAATTTGCATTTTATTGCATGACATAAGTATTTGATCACCTACCAACCAGTAAGAATTCCAGCTCTCACAGACCTGTTAGTTTTTCTTTAAGAAGCCCTCCTGTTCTCCACTCATTACCTGTATTAACTGCACCTGTTTGAACTCGTTACCTGAATAAAAGACACCTGTCCACACACTCAATCAAACAGATTCCAACCTCTCCACAATGGCCAAGACCAGAGAGCTGTGTAAGGACATCAGGCATACAATTGTAGACCTGCACAAGGCTGGGATGGGCTACAGGACAATAGGCAAGCAGCTTGGTGAGAAGGCAACAACTGTTGGCGCAATTATTAGAAAATGGAAGAAGTTCAAGATGACGGTCAATCACCCTCGTATGGGGCTCCATGCAAGATCTCACCTCGTGGGGCATCAATGATCATGAGGAAGGTGAGGGATCAGCCCAGAACTACACGGCAGGACCTGGTCAATGACCTGAAGAGAGCTGGGACCACAGTCTCAAAGAAAACCATTAGTAACACACTACGCCGTCATGGATTAAAATCCTGCAGCGCACGCAAGGTCCCCCTGCTCAAGCCAGCGCATGTCCAGGTCCGTCTGAAGTTTGCCGATTTACCATCTGGATGATCCAGAGGAGGAATGAGAGAAGGTCATGTGGTCTGATGAGACAAAAATATAGCTTTTTGGTCTAAACTCCACTTGCCGTGTTTGGAGGAAGAAGAAGGATGAGTACAACCCCAAGAACACCATCCCAACTGTGAAGCATGAAGGTGGAAACATCATTCTTTGGGGATGCTTTTCTGCAATACTGCACCGTATTGAGGGGAGGATGGATGGGGCTTTCAAGCAAGCTAGCTAACTATTTTCGAATTAGGCATTTCTTTCATAACCCATCTAGCTAAGGTTGCAAGTTAGCTTTATCTAGCCTACATTATACTTTTTGCCACCTTGGTTGAGCTGTAATGCTAGTTAGCTATGCAGTACCAACCTGCCTAGCTGCCCATCCAAACAGCTAGCTAGCTAAATAGCTATTTCTAGTACAGAAAATACATTCTTCAAGTCAAAGTTGGATATTAGTAGTGCTGCGGTAAAGGATATATTAATACAGGCAGTTAAGATGGCATGATTTAAACAAAAAAATATAGCATGTTCATTTCAAGAAAAACATGTAAGTGGGTTTTCCAATGTTCTGACGCGTTCTCTACCCTGCGTGGTCGTTGCTAAACAATGGGCCTCACGTCATTGGTGACACAAACCTGTCTTCCTCTATTCTGAAGAAAATTTGCGGTGGAACACGCACCTGAATACACGCATGACTCTATTTTATGTGCACCAAAATTACTATATTATTCTCTGAAGTGCCTCGTGAAAACAGTGTAAGGTTATATTTCATAACTTTGCTAGTCATATTGGCAATAGAATTTTTAATTATGCCCACCTAACCCAGATTGCGATTTATAATAGACTGTTTTTGGATTGCTTAAACAACAATAGTAATTGTGTGATGGTGGGGATGCAGGGCTGTGTTCCAAACAAAGTGTGCTTGAATCAGATCCTCAACGGCACAGCTAGGAGAGCTCATAAAAGCACCTAATAGTTGAAGACTCTTTTCTTGTATTAAAATTACTTAAACTATGCACACTTTGGAGAGGTGTGTGTTTGTGGCCACTTGGGGACACCAGTTAGACTTCTCACTCAAACCCTTGTGATATTTTGTCTTATGTTGTACCTACCCCAAATGTTCCTCATAATAATAATAATAATAATAATAATAATAATAATAATAATAATGTATTATTCTGAATGTATTAGAGTATTTTCATATTTCGTTATCGACAAATGCTGCAAAAAGTACAGAAAATGTAAAATGCACATAAAATCAACAGTGTAATGGTTGGATTCAGTCTTGTCAGGTGAACTGTTTCCTCACCTTTGGTCTAATACTTTACCCATAATCTCCAAAGTGTTCCAATTGCTAACATGGTTTTGCATATGCTTCTCATATTTCTCCTGTTAGAAACATTTCAATTTGGTCCTATCCATATAGGCCAATTTCCCTGCGTGTAAAGGGTTAATGGTGAAGTCATAAGGGAAGAGAGAAGGCGCATAATGGATATATTGTAGGCTATGTGTTCTTATTGGGGAGCACTACCTAGAATTACTGAATTCAGCTTTTAGAATGGAGGAGGGAACTAAGCAAGGCTTTGAAGGCTACAATTCCCCAAATATTTCAAGCAGCATTGGTATTTGCTTTACATCTGGAAAAACCAAGTAAACAAACAAAGTCGGTGGTGGGCGCATTATGCATGCTTGTTCATTAGATGGTAGAGAAGTTTATGGGTGAGTCTGAGCATGTCTTGGTAGAATGGCCTGTGGATTGCGTCAGAGTAGTACTTAACAGACTCCCGAGTGGCGCAGTGGTCTAAGGCACTGCATCGCAGTGCTAGCTGTGCCACTAGAGATCCTGGTTCGAATCCAGGCTCTGTCGTAGCCGGCCGCGACCGGGAGACCCATGGGGCGGCGCACAATTGGCCCAGCGTCGTCCAGGGTAGGGGATGGGATGTAGCTCAGTTGGTAGAGCATGGCGTTTGCATCGCCAGGGTTGTGGGTTCGATTCCCACGGGGGGCCAGTATGATTAAACATTTAAAAAATATTACAAAATAATGTATGCACTCACTAACTGTAAGTCGCTCTGGATAAGAGCGTCTGCTAAATGACTAAAATGTAAATGTTAACAGAGCATTAACCGGTGTAGCTCAACCACCTCAGGCCAGGGAGTGGCAGACAGACAGGCACACAGCATGAATTTCCTCATACAGTTCCTTGCCATTACAATACTTATTAACTATGTGTTGTGGTCATAGTCAACAAAGAGACTGTGAGTCGTTTTTATACTTGTTAAAATGATTTACTTCTTCCTGGTCCTTTCTCCTGCACTCATATCAGTCTCTCTTTACCCCTACCTCAACCCTCTGATCCCTTACCCCATCTTGGAACAGTAAACAATTGCTCTCTGTTTAATGTTTTTGTTTGTCTTTTCAGAACACTGATAGCTCATACCAAATCTCTGGACCGCACTCGACCTGTCACCTTTATCACAGACAGTAACTTTGCCAGGGACAAAGGGGTGAGACTTCACTGTTTCTCCGTTATGTTTATGAAGGATTCTTTCTTCACAGAACTATTCCTCGCATCCTCTCTCACTTCCTTCTCAAAACGCATTCGAGGAGGGAGAATTTTGGACCTTCTCCTCCAATGTGCTTTGAGAAGAGAGGATGCAAGAAATCGATGAAAGACTGCTTACCGAGGAGGTTTGACTCTGCAGCCACAGTAACTCTCTGCTGCTGATAAGTCTGTAAGATTAATTTTCTACTCAGACTTACCAGACAGTAGTTGATCAGTGGTGTCACATCAGTGGCTAAGCTAAGCACAGCAATTATGTCATTCAAATTCCATTCATTACAATGGGAATTCAATGAAAAAGTATTATGTAACACAGACACCAACATTGTATCTGTAGTTCTAGCCTTTAGGCCTATTTCTTCTTCTCACATTGAAACCTGATTATACCCAGGCTCCATCAACTATGACATTTTAAATGTCATACATTATTTGGAATTCAATGCCATTGAAAATGTATTGACCACTGTTTACCCTGTATTTCTGCTCTCCTCACATTGAACCCTGTCTCTCCCCAGGCTCCCTATGTGGATGTGATCTGTGTTAACAGTTATTTCTCCTGGTACCACGACCCAGGTCACCTGGAGGTCATCCCCTTCCAGCTCAACACCCAGTTTGAGAACTGGTACGGGAAGTACCAGAAACCTATTATCCAGAGTGAATATGGAGCCGACGTGGTCCCAGGGCTACACACGGTGAGTGTTCCAGAACTACTTTGTTGTTGTAGAACCTCTTCCTTATGTCCTCACATGACAGAAACAGACTTAAAAGGACGTAAGGTATAAGGAAAACATGTGTGTATTTGCTGAGATTTCATGGCCTCTGAGGCAAACAATGGTCTGGATACCAATTTTTTTAAATGTGCTTGAACAATTTGTCAATCACCTACCCAGGCTAGAACAGGTTGAAACCTATTAATTGAAAGCTGAGTGGTTGAGCTTGAATGATCAACCCACATCTCTCTTGTAAAATAGACTTTATCTCAATGAGAATTACCTGTAGAAATAAAGGTTAAATGAAAAGCCACATTTTTCTGTTCCCAACAGGATCCTCCCATGATGTTTACTGAGGAGTACCAGAAGATAGTCTTACAGAACTACCATGATGTGTTTGACCAGAAGAGGAAGGAGTATGTCATTGGAGAGTTAATCTGGAACTTTGCTGACTTCATGACAGCACAAAGTAAGGAGGAATCCATAAAAAGCAGAAGTACTGGAATTTATTGAAATTGTCAGACCAACCATTCTTGTTAAATAACATTTGAAGCTGGTTGTCATACCTTTGCTTGTTTAGTTTTGCGTATAGTGAACAGAAATTACTAGGTAAGGGAAAAAGGAGCAGTAGCACAAATGTTTAGTAATGTGATGGTGGAGTAATAGAATGTTGAAAGTAGGCCAGTGCTTGAAAAGCTGCTGGTATTTATGTGAAATGTATTTAAAGCTCCCAGTGTTGGGTAAGTTCAGAGTCAGCAGGAGTGGGCGTGGCACACCAGGAGGGTTCATTCTTACGCTTAGACAGGCCATTCCCACCATGTTGGCATTTATTGGGATGACTCATGTACTGGAGGCAGCTCTGCAGAGTGGTCACTAGCTGACACAGCCACAAAGTCATCAAATCTGATTTTAAACCTAACCCTAACTTTAAGGACACGGCTAACCTTAATGCCTAGCCCTAAACTTAAATGAAGACCAAAAAGCTCATTTTCTGTTTTCATGAATTTTTACTGTATAGCCAATTTTGACTTTGCAGCTGGCCCATCTAGCAGAAACCAATCAGTTATGCTTCCAGGGCAAGACTCATGACAATAAACATCAACCTGCCACTACCCCAGCGCCAAGTCAGACCAGCATTCCAGAACACCATGGTGACACTGCTGGTCTTAAACGTATTACCCACCCACTCCTCACTTTACATGCTGGTCTGGCCCCTATGTGTATACAGGGGAGTGTACATACAGTGAGGGGAAAAAAGTATTTGATCCCCTGCTGATTTTGTACGTTTGCCCACTGACAAAGACATGATCAGTCTATAATTTTAATGGTAGGTTTATTTGAACAGTGAGAGACAGAATAACAACAAAGAAATCCAGAAAAACGCATGTCAAAAATGTTATAAATTGATTTGCATTTTAATTAGGGAAATAAGCAGGGGATCAAATACTTTTTTCCCTCACTGTAATGTACTGTTTGAAGCAAGACCTTATCAGATTGTCCTGTGTAGACAATCTGCAAGAGAAAGCAGAAGCTGTCTGGTCCTTTTCCACCTAATACAACAATAGTGTTGAAATTGATAGGGTTGAATTTGGCGAAAGTCAGGTACAGATCTATAGGCTTTATCTATACTTTTAGACGGCTGAAACAAGCATACACATTTTGTTCAGGAAATTAACCTTTTCTACTTTCTATCTTCCTCTCTCTGCAGCGGTGACCCGTGTTGTGGGCAACAAGAAGGGCATCTTCAGTCGGCAGAGGCAGCCCAAAGCTGGCGCCTTCCTCCTGAGGGAGAGGTACTGGAGGCTGGCCAATGAGACGGGCCTGCTGCCCATCAGGGCTAGGTACCCCTGATACACCTGGATGGGGGGGACACAGCACCTGGGTTGTATTCATTAGCGCACAATCCCTCACATCGTAACGAAACATTTTAGCTATTGGACAAGTCCAGGTAGTCCTTCTCTGTTTGTCTGTTTTGTTCCGTTTGGTGCCTAATGAACACAACCCTTTATGGGGGACAAACCCACTACTCAGACCACCTGCTCAGTGCCTTATGACAACTACAATGCTAAGAAGACCACATCAGATTATTACCAGAACCAACCTCACTGGATCTTTTGGCTGAGTATTTGTCTTCCCCTGTTTTTAATTCAGGGATCAACCAATTTTATGCATGAACTTGAATCATGAGGCTGTTCCGTGTCCGTGTAAATGAATGGGAATGTGATGTATGAAAGATCATACATAATAATGTATAAAAGATCATGTATTTTTGTATCTCTTGTCTTTCATGTGTATTCTTCTTAGAATGCTTGCTGGCTCAATGTTAAGACTTCACCCCTTGCCTTTTTTCAGATTTAGTTGTGTTACAGCCTGAATTTAAAATGGATTAAATATAGTTTTTATGTCACTGGCCTACACACAATAACCCATAATGTCAAAGTGGAATTATGTTTTTTGACATTTTTACAAATTAATAAAAAATGAAACGCTGAAATGTCTTGAGTCAATAAGTATTCAACCCCTTTGTTATGGCATGCCTAAATAAGTTCAGGAGTAAAAATGTTCTTATCAAGTCACATAATAAGTTGCATGGACTCACTTTGTGTGCAATAATTGTTTAACATGGGGTAGTCTTTCAAAAATCATCTCTGTACCACACACATACAATTATCTGTAAGGTCCCTCAGTCAAGCGGTGAATTTCAAACTGATTCAACCACAAAGCCCAGGGAGGTTTTCCAATGCCTCGCAAAGAAGGGCCCCTATGGTAATGGTAAAAAAAGAAAAGGCAGAAATTGAATATCCCTTTTAGCATGGTGAAATTATTAATTACACTTTGGATGGTCTATCAATACACCAGTCACTACAAAAATACAGGCGTCCTTCCTAACTCTGTTGCCGGGGAGGAAGGAAACCGCTCAGAGATTTCACCATGAGGCCAATGGTGACTTTAAAACAGTTACAGTTTAATGGCTGTGATAGGAGAAAACTGAGGCTGGATCAACATTGTAATCACTCCACAATACTAACCTAATTGACAGAGTGAAAAGGAAGCCTGCACAGAATACAAAATATTACAAATTCCCTGTATCCTGTTTGCAACAAGACCCTAAAGTAATACTGCAAAAAAAGGCAAAGCAATTAACTTTTGGTCCTGAATAGAAAGTGATTTGTTTGGGACAAATCCAATGCAACATATTGAGTACACTCTCCATATTGTCAAGCAATAGTGGTGGCTGCATCGTGTTATGGGTATGCTTGTAATCGTTAAGGACTGGGGAGTTTTTCAGGATAAAAAAGAAATGGAATGGAGCTAAGCACAGGCAACTCCAATACAACACATTACTGAGTACCACTCTCCATATTTTAAAGCACAGTGGTGGCTGCATCATGTTATGGGTATGCTTGTAATCGTTAAGGACTGGGGAGTTTTTCAGGATAAAAAATAAATGTATTGGAGTTAAGAGCAGGCAAGAGGAAAACCTGGTTCAGTCTGCTTTCCACCAGACACTGGGAAATGAATTCACCTTTCAGCAGGACAATAACCTTAAACAAAAACCCACATCTACACTGGGGTTGCTTACAAAGAAGAGTGAATGTTCCTGAGTGGCTAAGTTAGAGTTTTTACTTAAATCTGCTTGAAAATCTATGGCAAGACCTGAAAATGGTTGTCTAGCAATGATCAACAACCAATTTGAGAGTTTGAAAAATGTTGAAAAGAATAATGGGGAAATGTTGCGAAATCCAGGTGTGGTAATCTCTTAGATTTACCCAGTAAGACACTGCTGTAATCTCTGCCAAAGGTGATTCTAACAAGTATTGACTCGGGGTTGAATACTTATCTAATCAAGAAATGTGTTTTATTTTTGATGTATCTATATTTTTTTAACAAATGTTAGAAATTTTCTTTCACTTTGACAGGAGTATATTGTGTAGATCATTGACAGAAAATTACACATCCATTTGAATCCCACTTTGTAACACAACAAAATGTGGAAAAAGTCCAGGGGTGTGAATACTTTCTGAAGACACTGTTTAAATTTATAACCATGATTTTATATAGAAACTAAGAATCATATACTGTGCACTAATTTAACAATCTATGCACTGTCGTCTAATAAAACATCCTAATTCTCATCAGAATCATCAGTATATTTGAAGTGGATGACTCTCTTGGATGACAGGTTTGTTTTGGTTTTGGAGTTCAGCATGCCAGGTACTGTGCTATCCTTTGTTAACAACCAGTTCAAGTCAGTCTTTGTTTTCGGCGCATTCCAATCATCCCAAACATTCCGCCTGGTGTCAATCAGTTCCTAATTTAGGCCTAGATTCAATCCGCACCCTGGATATACGCTAGAATGGCAATGTTCCTGCGTTGCTAGACTGCATTCACGGTAAATGCTGCATACAGTTCCTAGTGAAAGTCTACAACCGTTTGCAAAGTTGTCACATTATGCTGCTTTAAATGAAGATCCAACAATGGATTCAATTGTGATTTTCCCCCACTGATCTATACCACCTACTCCAAACTTTCAAAATAAAAAATATTCATACATTTTCTAAAATTTAAGAACAAAAAAAACTAAGATTTACTGATTGCGTAGGTCTTCACACTCCTGAGTTAATACTTGGTGGAAGCACTTTTGGTAGTGTTATGATGAGTTTCTCTGGCATCAAGTAATTCAGTATGCAAGAGAATAGTTAAACACTTAAATTAGCACCAGTGGCCCCCAAGCTATCTTGGCACACATCCCTTCTGGCACCCACCAGTGACAGAAATAAATACATGGAATGTCCTCATCCTCCCAATCCCATGCAGCTCATAAGATCAAAGACATTAACAAATACTGTATAAAAAGACATATCAATCCCTCATTTTCTTTCTTTTTGTTGTTGCAAGTAGAATTCCACCAATATAACATTACTTAAACCAAACAATTCACACCACTCCACTTCCACAATAATATATTCTCCCATAGTGGTATATATTCTTGGAGTCTAACTATTCCATTTAACTGAGAATTCATCCCTCCTCTACATTCTCTATATTTGAATCCAACCAGATTTGCAAATATTTAATCAACAAAGGTATAAATTCTCAGTCAGCCGGATCATGCACGATCAAACATCACAAACCTCTATTGATTTGGCCTGAGTAAAAGATTATTACATGACTAACACTGTATATATATTTTCTGTTGTATTTTTTGACTTTATGTTTTTTTACCCCATATGTAACTCTGTGTTGTTGTTTTTATCGCACTGCTTTGCTTTATCTTGGCCAGGTCGCAGTTGTAAATGAGAACTTGTTCTAAACTGGCTTACCTGGTTAAATAAAGGTTAAATAAAAAAATAAAAATAAAAACTAATATATATTCACGCTAAATATCTATGTAGTCAAAACCTTACTGACATATAAGGAAAAATCCCACATACACCATCCATATTTTTAAAATGACACCCCTGTATACATCATTTTCAAAAATACCCATCTTCTTAGACATTCTAACACGTGTATTATCGACACAGCTAACCAACCCCTTCCTTCACCGGCACTCAATCTTCTGGCGTCTGTTCATTATGTTCTTCAGACAGCTTCATAGTTCAAAATGAATTGCCCATGATAATGTCCCAACTTGAATGTCTCATCCAAGTCACCACCATCCCTACACCCCATTCTGTCTTGTCCATTTGCCAACCAGTATACCAACAACATAAGAAATGTTGTATTTGAACAGCTCTCTCTCCATCCTCACTCCCCGTGGACTCCCGTCACACTCCCGCGAGACAAGCATGAGAGGGGGCGGCAGGTAGCTTAGTGGGTAAGAGCGTTGTGCCAGTAACCAAAAGGTCGCTGGTTCTAATCCCCGAGCCGACTAGGTGAAAAATCTGTTGATGTGCCCTTAAGCAAGGCACTTAACCCTAATTGCTCCTGTAAGTCGCTCTGGATAAGAGCGTCTGCTAAATGACTAAAATGTACAAATGTAAATAAAATATAGTTGATAGCTTCGATTGGATGTTGTACACTGGTTGCAGGTAGAAGTGGTGCTGTACAGGAACGTCTTCAACGCCTCTGATGTTCATGTTTAGAGGTTGTTGTTTTTTAGGTTCACACCATTCTAGGCCGAATTATCCCTGCTATGCATCAAGACACCATCTGTATTTACCTCAAGAGAAAACAGAACATAACAGTTTAGTTGAGTTCATTTCTAATCCAATAAATCCATTGACTATATGACAAATTATTATGTTTTACCAATTATTCTTAATACCAATTTCTGATATACTCCCCTTATCACCCTATCAACTACACCGCAGAGTCACAGGATCGGGAAGTTTAGACCTCAATTTCCGTTAGGGAAACCCACCACAGACAGAGAAATTAATGGTGTGAAAGTCAGGTGATTCTTGAACTTCTGGAAGATCTTGAAGTTCTTGGATGTTCTTGGAGGTCTGTCCCTCCGCCAAGGGAATCAGCCAGAGCACGTAGCTTATCAGTAGCATTCCCATTGCCATCGTCTCCCATCACCTGATTCTGGTCAGCTCCAGCGTCCTCAGCTCCCTCATCTCTAGGTCGTCGGTATCCTCATAGTACTCTGTTGCAGTGGTTTACCAGGTCGATCTCCCCTCTATCCGTACATCCGTTGGTGTAGCCTGGGTGATGATGTATGGCCCCTTTAGCTCTGAACCTTCTTCCGTCACTAGGGTCTCGGATCATGCAGTCCTTCTCCAACATCGTTTTGTGGAGTGTGTCCTTCTGGCAGCGTACCAATAGGGAAGTTGAGAGTCACTGCTGCATAGACACACAGACACAGACAGACACAAAAGAAAACAATGCTCCACAGTGGCAGTGCCAACTTCCTCCTCTTGGTTTGAACACTCCTACAGCGGGACACATGGATGCAGGTATCTCTCTCTGCTACTTTCCCCTCCATCGAGGTAGCCAGCAACACCTAGTACTGACCTCCCCACCTAGGGTTTGTCCATCTC